AGAAACAACAACAACAGGAGGCAGGTTACATCCTCTCTCCAATTAAGGCTGCTAAAGCCTGAACAATGGGAGGCCTGCAACAAGTGTAGGGGCATGGGCCTCTAAATTTTGACCTAGCTATAGTAGTGGGAGCTACCCAAGTGCAGGGACATGGGCATCTAAATATGTCCTTGATGAAAGTGCGAAAAAATAAGCAAAACTACCTTAACAAATTAAGAAAAATGCTAATAAGGACATGAAAAATTACTTGATACTAAAAGAAGAATTGCTTCGGTACAGATTTATAGTAGAAGAATAATGGAAGAAAAATATGAACTAACCGAGACTCATAAAGGTAGAACACATTTGACAGTCTTTCTACTGGTGTCATCAATTGTGTAGATTGCAATTTTAGCAACTAGGCTCATTAGCTTCCCACCAGGCTTAACAGATAGAGCAAGATGATCTAGCGTCACATAAAAGCTCCAAAAACTGATTATGACCACGCTGCACACATAAAAGAAGCAAGAAAGTGAGCATAAATTATTGATAACATGATGATCAACATTTTTAAAATAATGAAGGAAGACATGGTTATGGGCATACGCACTCTTGAGCTTTTGTAGATATAGTAGACCTTGCATTTCCATGTGCACACACAACAGCATATAAATCACAAACATCCTTGCTGCAATGGAAAATCCTCTTTGTAGCAAAGTCAATATAAGGCGATCAGGGAGCAGCTAACCTTTTCTGAATCCTTCTTGGGTGAGGCTCATAGGCAGGTGTAACTATAGAATTGCCACTAGAAGGCTCTTTAGATGTGGATGGAGTAGGTACAGGATTAGATGTCTGAAACACAATTGCTGGATTCACCTTTTTCTTCTCAAACTCAATAAGAGCATCATTTTCCTTCCATCCCTATCAAACTTGCTGCACTCACAACAGTAGCTTTCCTCCTCTTCTATTGCTGTAACAAGGTAGTTCCTTTTTCCATACCCATAAACAAAGCTGTTATTGGGCTCCACCCAATATTGGAACTGCCCTATAGGCTTCACATCATATTCTATAGTTTTCTCAAACTCTTTGGAGAACTTGTAGAACATATTCTTTGTGTATATAGTGGAAGCATGCTTCTCAAGCGGATGCCTTGACCATCATCTTCGCTCATTATCATCAGTCCTGAAGTCTTGCCCATCCTATGCTACCAGACACTTCTCTTGTATTTTCTGGTACTGTCTCACAAACTGTAGCACGGACAAGTTTTGGTTCACATACTTCTTGAGTGAAGCATTGAACCCCTCGCTCCTTTGAGTCGACCGGAGGAATGGGAAGAAGTTGTGCATGTAGTAGGCTGGAATGAAGCTCTGCCTTATGTGGTACAGGTGTTGAAAATACTCATTGCCCCCCAAATCGTGTTTCTGGACCATAGCGACCCACTTTGACTCAAAATCTTCAGGAATTATGGTGTGGTTCAAGCAATCCACAAACTACTCATTTAGTTCTTCATTTTTAGCAAGGATCGGTCCAATTATGCCCGAAAACTTGTCCATGATATGCCACCTGCAATTCCTGTGGGTCGTGTTTGAAAAAACGGTGCAAATGGTGGCTCTCATCGTAGCGTCCTAATCGGTGATTATGTTGAGGGGTGCTTTTCCTTCTATTGCCTCTAGAAATGTTGCAAACAACCATTCATAGGTAGCTGCCTTCTCATTCCTTATAAAGGCACATCCTAGCTAAAAAGTTTGGCAGTGTATGTTGATTCCTATGAATGGTGTACAAGGCATCTCATATATGTTGTCATATAGGTTGCATCAAATGAGACACAGTCGCTATATGCCTCTTTGTAAGCTTGTCTTACAACTGAATCAACCCAAAATAGGTTCTCAACCCTATGGTTGTCATCGAGCTTGATCTTGTAGAAGAAATCAGGGTCTTCTTTCAAAGCTCTGAAGTAATCCAAAGTTTCCTGCATATCTTTGAATTTTTCCGTCTTGTGGATGGTGGAGCGAAAGTTCAAAACTTGTTTGCCCTCGTATGGCACCAGCTATGCAGAACCATAGAACTTGCTCATCAATTGCATGATTCTACCCGTGCTCAAGTTGCATCCGTGTAGCAAAACGATGAAATCCTTTTCTGGCTTCGGTATCCCTCTATGGGACCTTAAGAACTTCTTGAGTGAGGGCTTCACCACAAGATCGTGGTTGTGCTTGGCCAGAAAATAGATGACTTGCCACCTAGAGCCAATCATTTTGACCACCATCCTCGCCTTGCAGTTTGTATATAACATTTTCTCCCTCTTCCTTTTCTTACATCCGTCAAGCTTCTTCCTCTTCTCCCCTTGATCATCCTCTTTCTCTTGTGAGCTATCCTCCTCTTTGGCTTCACCATTGTTAGAGTAGCGAGTGATAGCATCAACAAGCTGAGCAGCAACTCTCCTTTTTTTGCCAAAGCCTTCCTTATTGCACACAAATTGGACCTTCTGCATTTCTCTTGTGATTGCGGACCAGCGTGACGTGTTTGTTCTAATCGAGAAGCCAGTTCTCTTTGCATAAGAGTTGTAGTACTCTTTTGCTTCGTCCAAGGATGCAAAAGACAGCTCATTGTGTGGCATTTGAGGAGTAGACCACACCTCTTCCTCCTCTTCTGCTACTTCATTTCCAGCACCATTTAATTCATTATTAGCAACTATAGGATTACCAGTAGAACCTTCATTCCTGTTTTCAATCCTTGCATGTTCAAATGACAATCTGATCTCAGAAACGGTAGGAAGAACCTATTCTGAAACTGCAGGAGCCGCCTCTGCTAAACCAGCATGACCAACTTTAGAAAAACTAGGCAAAATCTGCTGGTTCACATGCTCATCATTAGGCTGAGGAATTTCAGGAATTACAGGCACTTGAGTGCAGAAGGTAGGGTTGCTAGTCACATAATTCAAACCAAATGCATCCAAGAAATCTTTATTCAAATCTGGTGACAGCTTGTTAAGATCTATATTTGAGAACTGCAAGTAAAACAGTAAGTTACATGAAATTAGGCAACTTAGTCAAATCCATTAGGCAATAATACTGTACAAAATTAGGCAAAAAAGGCTAGCAATTTATGCAGTTTAGTTTAGTACATGCTATCAGTTTTGTTCAGTACATGCTATCAATTACATGAAATTTTGTGATAGCTGTGGCTATCAGTTTTTCACAGTTACAGTGGGACTAAAGACTGACTAACACTGTACCTAAATGTAACAACCTGTAAAATAGACACATAAGAGTTTAGAAACTTAAGACTGTCCATGGTACAAAATGTATTTTATTCCATAGTGAGATTTCAACTTAATGAATCTACCGTTCTTGTGTTTCCCTCTTTTTGCATAAAGTTGAAATTTGAGGCTTGCTTGTCCTCAACTCTGTTGATTTAAACATTTTTTCCTCAGTTCTCACTACCATCTATGTGCTTATCATGTACTTCTATTTAATTATAGGTGTTAGGCCATCAAGCATCAAAATGAACATGTGCAGCAACCATGTGCAGCAGCTAACACAAGAAAGTTTAATGCATAGGAGTAACCATATGCAACACCAACCCGGTAAAGATGTGCAAGAAAGTTTAATGCATCAAGATGTACATCTATAGGAGAACTGGGTTGCTTATACAAAACATATATCCATGTTAACTAGTAAGAACAGGATCCGGTATCACGTAAGATGTATATATAAAATTGCACTAGTCATTTAATTCTGTCCAAGTTATGATCTAGATCCGCTTGATAATCAAGTTCTTGCATATTTGTACGTACTGCACTGCTGTTTGGATGTATTGGCCTATTTGTTTGATGCATGAGAATCGGGTTGCTTATGCAAAAACAATTGAATTGCTTATGTTGAAAGAGAAAAGCAAAAGTAGTGAATTGCTTATCGGGGGCATGGGCCCGGCCTCTAGTGGGCCTTGTCCGATCGGATCGCTTTTCCCCGCGATTAGGGGCGGAAACAAAATATCTAAAGATATGATTCGTTGTGGCTTATCTCGGCCCATCGTCGTTATTATTTCGTGGCCGTCGATCGGCGTTGTTTCTAGTAAATCAACCGCGCTGTTGGTTCTATTTTTTACAAAAACGTCTCATGTTATTTCCAAGTGTATGAGAAGAAGTTTGGATATCTGCGGTTGTTTGCAAAAAGACCTCCATAGTATCAAATTATTGCATATTTGTCATTTTTTACGAAAACATCCTCTCGATTTTGCTCAAATTTGGATGTATATTTCTTTTCTTTTCTACCTTGTTTGCATGAATCTGTCGGGCGCTCTGGATAGGATATGATTCGCGGTATTTCGCTCTGGATGCCTCTGTCGTTTTTTTCAGCATGTTGAAAGGAAAAAAAAAAAATAGGCGCGAGGAAAAAAGCTTTTAGGCGGGGCAACCCACGGCCTGGCGTCCTCTCGATTTTTTTACAGTGGTTATTTCTTGTCCAGGAAGCGCGCTTTGTTTGCGACCTCCACTTTATCGCTTCGCGCGTGCACGACGTTGCTTTCCCCGCGACGATTAGGACGGAAACGAAAAATATATGCTATTAGATTTCCTAATATAGAGTGTACTTGTAGCATGCTTAATGCATGTAAGGCCGTGCATCAGTCGTTTCCTTTTTGTTAAATAAGTGTTGGAGCCGCGGGTCACTAAGTGATCACGCAGACCAGCTGCACATCTTGTTAACGATATATTTGCTCATAATTTAAAATATGCTATTTTTCCATCACTTAATTAATCGAAATAAATAACGAAAGTATATAGCTACAAAATCGGAGAAAGATAAAAGTTCCTGAAAAACAAGAGCAAAATCGTGGGGAAACGGTGGTCAAAGCAACCAAAAAAGTAGATCCAGTTCCGGCGGGCAGAGGGCTCAAGCGCTGCCGCGCTGACGTCGCCTGCCTGGAGCTGGTGCCTCGTCGACGGCTGCTGCGCTAGGGTGGAGCCTTTGATGCTGTAAAGTGTAAATTTCCTCACCCCCTCGCCGCCGGTTCCGAACCCAGCCATGGGGACGCCGGCGCCGGCGATGATGCCGATGGAGGACCTTGAGGCGGCCATCGCCGAGCTCCCTGCCAAGAAGGACGCCCTGCGCGAGGCCTTCGACAGCCTCGCCGCCTGCTCGCCCTACCCGCTCCCCTTCACGTGGGAGGACCTCGACGCGCACGTCTCCTCCGTCCAATCCTCCATCTCGCGCCGGTTCCGCCAGCTCCGGGCGCTCGAGGCCGCGCGCCCAGGCAGCACTAGTAAGAATAAGGAAGGTGCTAACGAGGTGGAAGAAGAAGAGGTGGAGGAAGAAGAGGAGGAGGTGGTGGTGGAGGAAGAAGAAGAAGAAGAGGTGGAGGAAGAAGAGGAAGAGGAGGTGGTGGAGGAAGAAGAAGAGGAAGAGGAGGTGGAGGAGGAAGAAGAAGAGGAGGACGAGGAAGAGGAGGAGGAGGAGGAAGAGAACGACAAGCAGATGAAGGAGGCCGACGACTACATTGGCAATCAAGCCAAGGAAGATAAAGAGGGCGGCAAGGATAACAAGCGCAAGCAGGATGCTGACGAAGAAGCGATCAGAAGAACAACACTGTGAAGCTTTGCGAGGGTCTTGGGCTTGCAGACAGGGCCACAGGTATGGAGCTATCTCCGTTCATAGTTATATTTTTTTCTGCAATTCTGCTAATCTATGTGTTTGATCGTGCCTATGGTGTTCTGGTGATTGTCAATAATGTTTCCTAAACTAGGTTGATTTAAAGTGCTGGTACAATTTTCTTATGTCATTTATAGCACCATAAAAGCTTGATTATAGAAGACCACATTCCTGCAAAGGCATGAGAAATATCTCTTGCAGGCAGGTTATTCGTCCATAAGATATAATGCAGTGTGACTAGTTTTGGAAAGGCTTACTATCTGATCATGTCATCCAGAGTTTTCTTATGGTTCATCAAGCATGTTAGTTTTTTTATCTTCTACTAGGTGAGTGCCCGTGCGATGCGACGGGGCAAAAAATATATACAATAATATTCATGTGCATCGCAGATGTCAAAATTCCTTTTATTTGTGAACAAAGGTACTATATAATTCCATCGACATATACTACCTAATTTACCGAAACCAAAAGTTCAGTATTCATCCACTAAATTTTTGTACCATAACCTAAATGACAATTACAACCTCAACAAAAAGAAAACTCAGCTCTATAAAACTGTACAGATTAGGAATATCCAATAACAAAACATACTGGTGTTGGCAGATTGAATGAACAAAGACAATAGTATTAATGTCTAAACTGTATGCCACATGGCTGCTTCGCCTTGGGCTCGTGGCATAGGATCTGCACTCGAATCCCCTTGCCTGGATGAGCATGTGTCCAGAGCACTCTACCTGCAGGAATAAGATCAGTGGCTCCCGTAAGTACCAACACAGGCTTAATTTCCTGGATCTATAGCACCAGATGTGTATTCTGAATAGTTCGGTTCCTAATTTGGTCAGTAAATTAGTATTAACACTCCTTTGATAATATATTGTTTACAAAAAAATGTATCACACATGACACTTCATCTATCCACTTAAGCCAACACCTTTTGATTAAGATGCAGTGATATGCATAAACAATTGGACATCACTTAAGCCAACAGCTTTTGATTAAGATGCAATGATCTGTTCTTATGTGCCAGCAGAGAATGTGTACGCACTTGTGATCTGTGCTTCTGTGTAAAATCTGTTCTTTTTTCAATTTACTCATTCTGTGCACTCCATCCTTCCTAGTAGAAACTTGTGCCCTCAAATTCTCGGTGGCACTCAGGGACAGGCTCAATATAGGACATGGGTGCGATAATTTTTGCCAAAAATAAAAACTCTATATACTGTCAATGCTAGCTATCTGGGTCAATTCCGGATGCATAAAGCTTGGGTTCCCCACAGCAGCAAGCTAGGGAAGGAAAAGGGTGATGTACCTTGTGGATGATGATCGTCGCTGCCTCTGACCAAGCATAGGAAAAAAGAAGTGCTTTAGCATTAGGTGCTCTTTGCATATAGTGCCAAAACCTGATGGTTCAATTTTAGAAGGCACAATTTCATAAACCCTCTGGAAGCCTACATCAAAGAAAGAACCAACAGATAGGAAAAAGGAAGTGCTCTAGCATTAGGTGCCAAAACCTGATGGTTCAATTTTAGAAGGCACAATTTCATAAACTCGTCATGTTGCATTGCTCCTAATGATGGATAAGTCTCTGTGTAGGTCTTTGTGGGGCTGTAGCAGCATGGTGGTCTTGCTGCCCATCAAGGACAGCATCCTTGACTGGAGGACAGCATCTAGGACTAGTATCTAGGACAGCATCTAGGACAGCATCTTAGACTAGCATCTTGGCATATGCTTAGTTGGCTAGCAGCCTATAAATATGTATCCCCAACCCCTCAAGTTGGCATGGCATTGTGTGAGAAATAAACCAGAAAATTACCCTAACTCCTAGTGTCATCCTCTCTCGATTAGAGTAAGAATTCTACTACTACCAAGAGTAAGAATTCAGCGACTAACACCTAAAATGACTGAAAGTCTTATTTCAGAAGGCACAGTTTGAGAAATGTATTATGGAGTTCCCATTCCAGGAACTACAGATTCACAAATGTAATCTGCTAAGGAGATTGTTCCTTATCTCACAATTTATTGCATGAACACTTCTGTACAGAGCAACCGCAACATTGCCGCCACTGAATTCCATATCTTGATTTATCATGCACATAATTTAACGAAAATGAACACACTCAAGAACTAAGTCTGACAGAAGTATAGTATACAACCAAACTACTGACATGTGAAGTCACAAATGTAATAACTATGCCTATACCGTCCCCATTGGGCGTCCGAAAAAAAATGTCTGGCAGTGTGATAGCTAATTGGCAAGCACACCATAAGGGTCCTGAAATCCTGAGTAGTTCTACTTACCAAAAAGCCACATAATACAGGACATTCGCTCGCCGTAGTCTCATTGTGGCAGCGGCGGTTGCAGCACGGCGCCACGATCTTATACCACATGGTTGTATGTATCACACCTGGTTACTACGGAAGAGAACGCAAACGAGCAAAATCAGACAGGCACATCAAACGGAACACTGGGAGCAGATCAACCACAACCAGTCAAGTAGCGCAAAGCGATTCGGCACTGGAAGGAGCGAATCACCCGTGTTCCATGTTGGCCACATGGCGGCGGTCCACATCGTCGTTGTCACCTGGGAACTGTGCTCCCCCGTCCCCTTCATATCACGCACCGAGTTTGCTTGCTAGGGGGTTCTCTCGAGGAAAAGCGGAGGAAATCTTATGAAGGAGCAAAGCGGGGAAGAAATCCGATGTAGGGTCGAAGTCGTGGCCTAGGTCCGCGCGCCGCCAGTCCGGGGGCCAATCCGATGTAGGCGGACACGCTCGGGCTCGCCGGCGCTGGGACTGGCGTGGTGGGCCGCCCTGCCAGGGGCTCTTCCCGCGCTGCCCGCATCGGGGTTCTCCGAGCCGAGGCCGCCGCGGCGGGGGGCGGCCCTAGGGGCAGGTATGGTGCGGAGTGGAGGCAACGCAGCCACGCGGGATGCGAGGGGGCGGGACGACGGCACGGCGACGGCGCGGTAGGTGAGGGGCTAAGCGCTCCCGGCGCTAGGAAGCAGCGGAGCGGTAGGGGAGCGGCGGCACTGCGGCGTTGACGACGGAGGCGTCGGGAGTACGGCGCAGCAGGGTGGGGGTTTCTGTTTTTTTCCTTGCCCTGGATGACGGACGAACGGCCGAGTGGGGGCGCATGGAGGAGACGACGTGGGGGCCGCTCCGGCTTCACCACGGTGATGGTAGACGGGTCCGAGTGATTCTTTTTAGTGATAGATTAACAGGATCCACTAGCCATAGATCTAGCAGGTCAAATTAACATTTAGGATATGGAGTAAACCCTAGAACATGATCTAGTGCGAGGAAACAGAGAGAGAGGGATGCGGGGTATCAAATCATCGGCCGCCTTCGAGGAAGACGAGCCATCGCCATCGCGGTCGGTGTCGATGTGACGTGGTGGAGGCGCTGATCGAGAGAGGCGGTGCGGTCGTCGTCGATGCGCAGGCGGCGGTGGCAAGTGGCGGCGGTGCTCCCACATCGGCAAAGCTCCCCTTCTAGATCGGCTTAGGGTTTATGTAGGTGGGGTTGTGGCGGCGCAGGTGAATCTCATGCCTTGTGCCCCGGCCCCCACCTCCCTTTTTATGACGCGCTGTGCGACGGGGGTCTACCAACCATGGAACGGTTGGGCGCCCCCGATCAGGGCGTGGATCAAGGGCCCAATTGGCTGTTGGGCCAAGTTGGTGGAGATCAACCTAACATTTAGGAGTAGAGATACTGCGTAGCCACACCGTAGAATATTGTAGATGTACACCTAAAAACTATATAGCCGAATAAAAGAAATCATATTTGTAGGAAACATGGAACTATTCTGATCCATCTTTTGATTTTGTACTAATCAATGGTATGCGAAATTTTCCCAATTTGACTTTCTTGAAAGTTTGGTACCAGATAGTGTAAGATGCAGACAAAGGACCATTTGACACAACTCATACATGTTTGTCGCACCTGGTGCTATGTATCCTTCTTTGCCTAATCGATTAACATGTATTCCTGAGTAATACCTGCCTGATCATGCAAGTGTTTGATCTCTGGCTGCATCGCTCCAATGCTATGTACCTATTCATAACTAAGATTTAACAGTTATTAAACTATTTACTACTGTAAAAGTTTCTAGTCTCCACACATTCTTTGTTTCTACTTTCTAGACACAGCACCTTTGGCTCACCATTGACAGCAGCATCTCAGACACCACCAGTTGGTGGGCCTCAACCATTCTGATCCTTTTGCCCAGACTTTCACATCAAACGCCAAAGAAATTAGTTTTTGAATTCCTAAATTTTCATTAAAATAAGAGTGCTTATTGTTGGACATGTACGTGGATGTGCAAGGCTGCTAGGGGAGGTTTTTGTTTATTCCCAATTGATATTTTGTCTTTCATTATGTTCAATAGTCAATGTAAGTATCAAAGATCAGTGTATAATATATACAATATGCATCAAATGATGGTATTGAAAAATATAGTTGTCGATTGTCACTAATGTGGGACATCAACCAAAAGTTGCTCAAGAAAGCACCACCAATTATGTTCACCGTGTTGTTCTTTGGTGTTGTGCCTTCACGAGACTGTTCCGTGAAGGTGTGCTTACATGCTTTCCTTTGCTGCTAGCCTGTCATTTGTCAATACAATCTGTGAAAGAGTCTGAATCCTGTGACCAAAATGGCAATTCTGTTCATTATTGCTACTCGCAAAAAAAAAAAAAAAAAAAAAATGTTCATTATTGCATCTCACGTGATAACTGATATCAACCGAAGTGGTAGGTTTATATGGATATACTTTTAAATTTCGATAGAAACCCTAGTTTGCTTAGTATATCAAGTATGTACATCAGTTGATTGTCTGGTCTGTAGCTGTAATGCATTTTTGTATGTTCATTGCTTAGCCATTATTTGAACTTTTTTCACTGTTTTCATACGCAGCTAGACTTCATACATTGGCCAATATCTTCTTTACATTTTCAGTTTGATTTTGACATAAATGTAGGCACTCATCTCCATGTCTGTACCTCATTCGCAATGCAAGGGTTCGCCTTCTTATTAATGTTTCCTCTTGCCTTCATCTTTTCTGCATATTTTAAATTTGGAGGACAAGTATCCTCCATTTTCTCTTCTGAAGGGATACATTGAGAAGGCCAAGCAGACGACTTCTGTGGAGATATTTAGAAAGAATGAAACACACAAGTCATTGGTATGAACTAGCCCTTGTGACACTAAAATCAAGTATTTCACTGACAGGAATTATATGGCGCCCAGGGTAGCACAAACCCTGGACATCCAGGCCATTATGCTGTAACGTCAAAATTTGTTCTGACGGAGAGAAATTTGAGGCCGCTATTCATCTATTGACAGATTTTTTAGGGTGGGAATGCATACCTCCAGGATGCTGATCTCATTCTTTTCCATGTCTGGAGATCTCCAATAACTCTGGCAGGTTATAGTTTCAGGTTGGGGTACGAGGTTTTGGTTTTGGGGATCTTGGTGGCCTCCATCTGTAGAGGTATGGCTGAGGGTTGCAGGTAGTTCGCCAGCCTGGTAGCGGGCGGAAACGCGAGACGGTGGTGGACAGTGGTTGGGCAGGCATGGAGGCGGGGGCATTGTGCTCAAAGTGGCTAGTGCCGTCCGTGGTGGAGGGCAGTGGAGGTGGGGGAGCAGGATCCATGGTGAGGGAGGGAGGCGCTGTGCATGCGGCACATTGGGCGGGCGGGGGGTCGGGACGGACAGAAGAGGTGTGGGTGGGGATCGAGACGATGACGGCTTTGTTTCCCTCCTACGATGAAGACCAGGATGTCCAGTCCAGGATGCTCATCCTGGTGGACATAGAAACCGGGTTCTTTCAGTGATCACCTTAATCATAACTTATAGCATTGTGGTTTTACTACAGATTGTGGAACAAGTTCTGTTGTAGATATATCTTTCTGTCTTTCTTGATCCGATAAATCTGCTTTCTTATCAACTATATTTCTTTCTGTCTTTTGTTTCGTTTTCACATTTACAGTGAAGTAAGTAAGAAAGCACATACACATTCTGCACTAGCACACTTGCCTGGCACATGAGTGTGCCAAGGTATCTGATTCACACCCCTAGAAAGCCATATACCACTGGTAAATGGGGAACGTACTCACACATATTGACATAGATATGGTGTCTAGATTTCAATCCAGGGTGGAGTCACAAAACTCCACCCCACCAAGAGGTGGGTACTCAAATTTGTTGTTTGTTAGCTGAAAGGTTTTTGCATCTTGCCTATGTGCAGAACTTGGCTATACCAAAGGAACTATGGATTGCACATCATCTAGCAGAGCAGAAATTTGCTGATTCTAGGCAACGCAGTGCTATCATAGCAGAAATTAATTATTTGATGAGTGAATATAAAAAGGAACAAAGGTCAGCAAATCCCTCAATGCCCTCTACATGGGATTCACAGCAGCCAACGAAACATAAAAAGAGGAAGAGGAAGCGCAAGAAAGAGGAGCAGGAGCACCATGAGGAAGCACAAGACAACCAGCAGCAGCAGGAACAGAATGAAAACAAGTTAATTCAAGGAAAGCAACATCAGCTGCATCAACAAGAAAATAAGGCGCAAGTGACAGAGCAGCAGCATATGAAACCGCCAGGGCCAGCTACCGACACCTGCTGTTCCTCTGGTTCTGAATGTGGCTCAGATCCAATACTTTGGGCGTCCACCTTACGCTGCTATGCCTGGAGTTCAGAATTACCCTGCCCAGCCAGGTTGGCCTATAGCTCAAGGAAGACCATTCGTACCGCAATTCAGATCACCTCAGTATATGGGTCTGCCATTTAATCCCTTTGCCCTTCATCCTCCGTCCTACTCCTATCCCAGATAGTGTAGAAGTCCTGGCGTTGTGAAACTACGGTGAAGCGTAGAAGTTATATGAAATAGCTGCGTAAGTTATATGAAATAGCTAGCGTAGAAGTTATATGAAATAGCCCGGTATTGGTTCGGTCTGTAAGTGGCTTTGTGTTCTCTTTTCGCAACATGGTGTTCATTTGCTAATTCCTGGCCTAACATGGAGGTAGCCTTGGGCGTTTCTTCTGTTGCTGCAGTTTCTGCCTGTGCTGTTTCCTCTTGCGATTCTTGTTTTGTCTTCTCCTTTTTCTGTTTTTTCCACATTTCTTCCGGCTCCTGCGGCTCTTGTTGATTTTGAATGTGCTGATGCTGCGTCTCCTGTGGCTTCTTCTGCTGGTGCTGTTTCTCTTTTGGTTTTTGCTGCAGCTCATGTGGCTTTTGCTGCTGCTGCTGCTGCTGGTGGTTTTCCACCTGTTGCATTTGTTGCCGTTGCTGATACTCCTCTTGAAAATTGTCCTGCTGATGCGAACTTGCAATGGAGGCTGAAACACCTGCTAGACTTGTGTGTATATGCTAAACACCTGTATAGTACAAATATACAAATGTACAAGCACAAGTTCCGGTTGGGAATTGGTCGTTTTCGTGCCGCCGACACGTCTGCGGCTGAAAATATCATTCGGTTCTCAATGAAAAGGAACACATCCCTGATCCCTGGCTCCTACCTATGTGATTAACGATTTGCATGCACTGAACGCACCAGAGTATGCCTGTTATAACTGTAATTTATCCACGTTGTTCACTTCCATTGCATCGGGTTGTCCTATACCACTTTCTTCACTTCTGAAGTTTAACAAAAACCTCATTCAGATTTCAGATGTCAGGCCCAGAGTTACCGTTCATCATATGCTACTACTATATTGGTTTAGATGATACCAGAATCAAATTTCTGAAGTAGATAAATTTCATGCTTGGTAACCTTTCTCGATAACGTATCATGAATTCTTGATAAATAAATGCAACCGATAGCGCATCATGATCGATGAATGCAACTTAAGAGCAGGTAAAAGTAGGTACTGGGACAGGTAAAACGCAAACCTTCTCTATAACGTTCTAAGCTTTCTATAAAAAGCCGGGTTTACCTCTGTCAAAAATAACCGCAGACCTTCTCATAGTATCATCTTTCATTAAACAAACAAACTAAGCACAAAACTTTGCAACCCCCACTGGGCCGTTACTGGCACTCGACATGATAATCATCTACTGTGTGCCATCAACTCATACACAAGGGCCCAAGTGTTTCACGCATCATCGACACTGGTCATCGGTTCATTATCCTTGGCTCCGTCCCCATCTTCATCATCTGCGTGTGCGCCGTTGCTCTCACAGTCCTCACCAGCGGCCGCCGCGTCCTCCATCTGATAATCCACCTTGAAATCATAGTCCGCATCCATGTCGTTCAGCACGCTGAACTTGTTCGCCTTGCGTCGTTTCTTCTCTGCTTTCCTCCTGCGAGGGTCGAGTATGCCCTCGGCAGTGTACAACTTGTCGTTCTGTGTGCTAGCACTGGCTGCCTTGCTTCCTTCGCGACCATTCACGTCAGTTTCCTGGACGGGTTCACTCGGTTTCTTGCCATCCTGGTTAGTGCAAAACAAGAATCAAATAACAAGGCCGAGCACAATGTTCCTAATGCATTCATGTTTTGCTTGCAGCAAAGCATATTGGTATGAAATTCTTGCATATGAATTATTTAGTTCAAATAGAACCTACGGATGACTTATACAAAGTGTTTTCACCAGAGAGCAGGCACTACCCTTTTATCATGATGCCAGTTTCATTATGCTGTTTACAAGGATTATACATAGATGATCTTAAAAAAACTCATGTTGGTCAACAGATTTGAATGGAACCTCCTAACATAAGCGTATAGAGCTGAGCCCGAACCAGCGCCCATGAAAAACAATCTCACAAAAAAAAAATTGCTTTCAATGGATGCCATGCATCTGGCCATCACAAGGAACAAAACATAGAACTAATAGGTAAAAAGATGGCACAAAATCTACAGTGGTTACCATGTTAAATCCACTTAATTCATGGGAAACCGCTAGCGTTAAGATTATTACCTCTAGCATCTCTTCATCAATCCCTGGTGGAGCATTAGGTGGAATCTCAATATGATGGAACTCCCTCAATGGACTTCAAACCACCAATATATGAAGACTCAGCTTTGTAAATATCATCAATATTAAATTCTTTCCCATCTTCTAATATAATCACTGCATCTGAGCCCTCTCCAGCATCTCTTTTAGGTGGCAGTGTAAAATATGGTATTTTACCTAAAAACAAGAGGATCAGGTCACTATTAACAAGAATTTACAAAGTTAATGACCAAAATTTTAAGACATACCTTCATTCCAGTCATGAAGCACAATTCTCGCAGCAGCTTCAACATCCACTACACCACCCTTTTTCAATTTCCCCCGTATAGTTGCTACTTTCTGAAGGAAATCATCAACTGAACCGAAGCTTGGAACCTTGTACAGAGACAGCAACTTCTCATGTGGGCAAATACTTAGGATCTCCTTAACTAGAAACATCAAAAACAGAGAGAAGCATAAAACATGTCAAGTATTCCACTTCTGGTCACATTATATACTAGCTTATTATCAAATGGTATAGTACCTAAAGAATAAAACAATAAGAAGGCTATATAACTAGAATAAATAAATAAATAACTTCAAAAGAGCTAACAGAAATGACACAGAAACATGCAAACTAGCTTACCAGGAGTGACTGGATCTTCCATTTTCTCAACTCTTTTGCAGTTTCGAAGGGCTACAAACACACCACTGTTGGAAGATTTGAGCATAACAACACCGGGACAATCCAACAACTTCACCTTCTTGTCTAATTGAACTTCTTGTATTGATCTAGTAACCCCTGGAGTGGAACCAGCATTAACCACTCGGGACCTCTTCAGGCTGTTGATCAGACTGCTCTTGCCAACATTAGGAAGTCCAACAATACCCACCGTAATTACCAGTTTGAGCTGCAAGTCACAATAACAAAACTCAACAAAGGAAGAACAAAAAACACATACCTACAAGAGGAGTAAAAAAAGGGAATACTGAAGCATAAGAAGGTAATAACTGAAGACAGGAAACAAGGCTACATGTAAAACTGTCATGATAAGATACAGCACACAAGTAAAACAACTATTTGCATGAAGTCATTAGGTTCTGATACAAAATGTAGGAAGCTGCTCTCCCTTCAAAATCAAAACTCAAAAGGATTCTATTAATCATGTTCAATAAAAGGTAATGTGCACATAAGCAAGGAAAAGGAAGTGAAGGTTCAATTATTATAATATAGTCAAGTAATGAAGCACACGGGATGCTGTAGAACAAGGACAAAACATTCTAATTTAGAATGCCCCAACAATAATCAACTTGAGAGACAGATGAGAGATGACCGAAGCTATATATGCATAAACCTTATATGAAAACGATAGGACCATTTACCTCATGGCTTCTGGAATAATTCTTGAGCAATCTGATTAGATTCTCTGCACCAAGACAATCACTGCTTTGTGGGATGTTACTTGTTTTATCAAGTTTTTAAGATTTCCATCCCAGCTTGGTCCTCTGCTCTTGGGTATTGCACTTAAATGCAACTGTTGGCATTTCTTCTCTTAGATATGTAAGCCACTTCTCTACCGCCTCCTTGGGAACAAGATCTATAATTCAAGAATCAGAAGTTGAAATGTAGGATGGCATAACCACCACAGAGTAAACTTTAAACATAACAAAACACTGCACAATACCTATCTTGTTGAGAAGCAGTACAATCCGTTTACTTGGATCAGCCTTCCTAACCATCTTTTCCATGTCAATGCAACGGGTGCCCAGCGGATCCCTTGCATCAAGAACCTCAAGAATCACATCGGAAGCTTCAATTACTTTAACAAGCTCCTTGTAGAAAGACCTCTCAGAATGATCTGGGACACATTTAACATCTTTGGTCAATAATATAACTGCATGCAGTAGGGCAATTAAACCACAAGTGGGAGATAAGAAACTTACCGTTGCCCTTTGCCACTGCTGAAGGAGCATTATCCTTTGCTGCAAACTCACTGCCCTGCACGGAAGCTGCAGATGCCAAATTAGCAATGTCCTCATCCTCAAGCAATCCTAGCTTCCTCTTCCGAGCCTGAAAAAGGTAGTGTCTCATTGTTTAACCATCACAACGAAAGTGATATAGATGTATCTATAAAACTAGACGAAGAACATAAATAGATGTTAAGGAACACATAATTCATCTGCCTAACCTAACTAAGGGTGACAATATTAATCACTGCTTGGTCAAGTCTATGTGAAATTTCATGATCCTGACAGAGTGAGCCTAAAATGTGAAGTGAAAAGACCCAAATAAAGGATGAGCATCCAGCTTGTCTGAGATCAATGACCAGAATTTCACAAGAGAACACAATTATACATACAGCAATATTGGTTCAAACAAGCCTTAGGTTGTAATAAGGGACAACAAAGGTTGGGACAAAAACTATAATGGCAGATACTAAAGATAGCAAGCCATCAACCAGATGGCAACTACTAAGTACTAACTAGGCTTGCAAATGGTTTGGGCCACGCCGCCAACCCGCTGGGCTGGCACCCACCACTAACCTGCTGAAGCCCGCAAGCTAACCCACTTAGATGGAGCAGACTGATATGGGCAACCAGCATAGTCCAGCAGCGCCACACATCCTGCATCTCCCAATCCACCGCCGCCGCCCTCCCGCTCTGAGTCCGCCTCCAAGCAGAGTTGGCAACTCTAGTGTCAGCCTCGTAGCTTGCCGCCGCCGCCTTCTCTCCTTCTCCTGGCGCCGGCTCTTCCGCCTTCGGCCTTGTTCTCTCCATTGTGACTTGTGAGCCTCCCTGAGCTACAGTTGCCGAAGAACGCCTTCTCAGCTTCCTTTCCCAATCCACCAGCAAGTTCAATCATGTCCACTCAAGTGGCAAGTAGCTCTCAATTATTAGCAATCAGTAACAGTTTGAGCAAACAAACAGAATCTTGAAGCTAATGTTACTCACTAAGAATGCAAATATTGTCAACTCAATTGACTAGGCTGAGTGCTCATGTGTCTACTTATCTGTTTAATTATGAGTTTGTTTATATTTACAACTACACCATTAGAGGAGTAGAGGAAGTTGCGTTAAAAAAAAGAGTAGAGGAAGCAAGATTAGGCACATGTCTTACTCCATTGGCAGCCACTGAAGAAAAGAGCCTTTTTTCCATCTCATCATCCCCATTGGCACATCCAAATCAAATTCATTTGACTATTAGCATTGTAGCATGGCTTACTCCATTGGAGAGAACCTGGCATGGACTCTGCTCTACATGGATGACCGGGCTCAATCCAAATAAATGTATGTTCTGCTTCAATTAGCTTACAATTAGTATCCCCTCTTCTTCTTAACTTTCAGTTAGAGTATGGCTTTAATGACACATAAAGCGGTCCTTCCTTCACTCCATGGCTTTCATTCAGGCATTCATACTGACCATGACTAGATTGTGTCAAGACAGATGATCAACAATGACCAATTTATTAGAGCGAGAGGGTGTTAGTTTGTTCAATAATAGCCTAGAGCATAACTTTTTTTTTCAATCTGCACCAAACCTGTAATTTGTGATGAATGTGGAATGTGTTAATCAACTACTGAAAAACAGCTAGTTTATTTTCCATTGAAATATAGTAAAATACGTTGTCATTCCAGAATTTCTGAATTTATTTTAACAATTTATGTCTAACTTTGAACTCTGAACATCACAGTGCACACCGCCCCATTTGCATTCCTGATGGTAACTATGTATACACTACCAATATAGGGAAGCATCTAAGAAAGTTAGTTTCACAATGAAAACTGAATGGACAGGAAGGTAGGGGTTGCAATTAAACGGAATGAAGGTGGATTCGTACACTAAGACCGAAAAACTATTTGCTCCGGACAGAGACTAACAGCAGGCATAGAACCAGCGGTAGCAGTGGGTGGGAGGGTCAGGGTAGTGCAGGGCACGGCAGACATGGCATACCCTCTCCTTGCGAGCCGCCTTCTTGAGCTCGAGCTCCTGGAGCGCCTGCGCGCGTCGGGCCTCGAGCGCCTTGAGTTCCTGCTCCTTGAAGGGCCACTCGTTGGGGAACCCGGGGTCCTTCTCGACCTTCTTCCGCTGGCCGCCGGCTTTGCTCTCCTTCTTGGTCTCCTTGCGCTTCTTGCGGTGGTGCTCCTTCACCTTGCGCAGCACCTTGTGCTTCTGCCGCAGCGTGACGCGCTTGCTATTGCTCTTCTTGCTCCTCTTCACCATCTTGCCGACGCTTGTCGAGGTGGAGGAGAGGGGAGGAAGGAGGAGCCGGCGGCACTGAGGTGTCACGACACAGACTTCGGGCGGCCCTGTTTGGAACAACTTATTTCAACCACGCCTTTTTGAATCAAGGCTAGATTAGATTCAGCTTCCACAAAAATCATGGGGATAAAAATCTTACTGTCTGATATGCCGATTCTTTGAGAGGACGACAAGGAGGAGGATCCTACTCCGGTCCGGCGGAGGGGAGGCGGAGCGGGAGAGGCGGCGACGAAGCGAAGGGAAGGAGGGAGGGAGAGAGCGGACAGGAGGCGGCGCCCGACCTCGCGGCTGCGAAGAGCGGCAATCAGGCCATGTACAATGCTCGGCGCTTATGGGCCGTTATAGGTTGCTGGGCCGTTTTTCTGCCAACGTTGAACCCGAGTCGCCTTTAAAAAAAAACGAGTTGGGCGCTTGAGAATGGACGCGACGCGACTCTCCGCGAATCAGCGCAGCCTGGAGCCCGGGACCGGCTCTTGGGCGATCCCGAGGAGACGGGTGCGCTTCACTGCCGCACCACCAACGCTCCAGTGCTCCACATGCGGGCTACCGCCGTTTCTAGGGCACGTTTGGATGAGTTTAAGATTCTTAAAAATCCATTTTTGCCTCTAATCTCTAAAATCTTCATTCTGAGTAAAAAACTAGTGGGGTGTTTGGATCCCTCAGTTTTTAAGAATCTGGCTTCATTTATTGCTCATAGGGTCACAAGAAACTGGTAAAAGCTGGGTACCAACAGTTTCCTGGTTTTTAAGATTCTGGCAAAAACTGGCCTGTTTAGATCTCACCCAGTTTCAAAAGCCAAATTCTTAAAAACTGATAAAAACTGGAGAGATCAAAACATGGCCTTAAGCACCTCTAAAATATATTTTCATTTGTAGATTGAGTTTTTTAAGGCGTTAATTGACATGATATTTTCTATCTCTCTTTACAGAAATGCTATAGTGAGAACGTTCGATCCTCCGGACGCTCCCGTTCGTAGGCCGCAACACCAATCCAATGGTCCAATAGTCGTAGCCCCTCGTCCACAAGCCCTCTTGTAGCATGTTGTCTTCATTCTCCAGAAGAAAAAAACACCACAGCTTGAGCGAACGCGCTACGCCGCCCCGCCCCGGCGTTCTCCACAGTAGCCGAGGGCCTGATGGCTAGCATCTCAACCATGCCTGAGCGTGGCCGCCCACCTTGATCCCTCTCCATCGCGCCTCCCGGTTGGCCACCTTCCAACCTCTCCACCGCACCTCCGGCCTACCGCAGCCTTCTCTAGCTCGTCGGCCGTCTTCTCTACCGGAGCAGCGACAGCTCGCGTCGAACCCGCCACGGCCTTCTCCACCAAAGCGGCGACAGCTTGGGCCAGCACAAAGAGCGGGAGTGCCACCATCTAGCGTCGCGTTGATCCACCTCACCCATCACGGAAGGGGAAGCGGTCCACCTCGCATCATCGGTAGGAAGGGGATTCTAGCGCCACCATAGTTCCTCACCAGGTAGATCATGGCCACGCGGTGATGCTATGTTCCAAGTGTTTCTAGACGTTTTTTAGACATGTTTTGCAAGCTTATGTTTCAAGTGTTTCAGTTGTTTTCAGATGTATGTTCAATTGTTTTATGCAGATGTTTCAAAAGTAGATCGAGATGTTGTATATGTTGAAATGGTTGTACACGTATGTTGCAAACATTTATCCCTAATCTTTCATCCGTTTTTTGTACACGTATGTTGCAAGTGTTTCAAATGTATGCCTTGAGTGTTTCATCTGTCTTCTTTTGTATGTTGCAAGTATTTTTTCTGGATGTTTCAAAAGTAGATCGGGATGTTGCACATGTTGCAATGGTGTTTCAACTGTATGTCCCAAATGTTTCATTTGTTTTAGACATATGTTGCAAAGTTTTCATCTCGATGTTGTAAAAATAGATCTGGTGTTTGAATGTTGTAGTGGGACCCACCTACACAGCCACTTGCTTGCAGCTGCTGGGCCCGCATGCATGCGTGTGGGAGCGGAGGGGCACAAGAAGTAGGCACGGGAAACGAGAGCGGGCGCAGATCGAGACGTGGCCCCACATGGACGCGCATGCGCAGGAAACAGAGTGACATGGGCCCCACGTGAAGCAGGCATAGGCGTGCGGGCGGTCACGCGAGCAGGCGCAGCTGGCGCGAGTGTCCGGATGCTAGTGCCCGGATCGAACGTCTGGGCGCTAGCATTTCCCCTCTCTTTAAGGCACCTGGCGGCGCGTCAAGGAGAGAGAGAAAGAGAGAGTTAGGGTTTGTACATGCATATAGGGCATCTAGACTAGAAGACACACTCCTCACTTAGGTCAGATCCTACTCGTCCTGCATATCATCCGAATTGCTTTTAGTTTAGTCTCATGGTTAAGTCACTTCTTAGAAACTAAAATTTTGCCAATTCGATATACTTTATGAGCTATAGTGAAAGAGAGAGAGAGGCTAGAACACCCTAAAGAGAAGAGTTAAGTCAACTTGTATTGTCGCTCCTAAAGCATAGAGATCCACTTTTAGGGTTTTAGAAGTATGAAATTGTGCTAAGAAAATCTTGATAAAAGGACCATAGATGTAAGTCTACAACATGCTCTGATACTCATGGTAGGGTCCTACTGCCCGGGAGAGGGGAGGTACCCGCTATCATAGTAATTTGCACAAAGTAACCGACTATCATATTAAGTCACCTAAATCAAATTTCAATCAGTTTCCCTAAACTTTTAATACGTGAGCACGAGGTCTTAATTCCAATGTCCAGCTTTAGTCATGAGGTTAACATATGTAGGGCTTGTTTAGTTCCTAAAAAGTTTTCCAAAAAGTGTTGCAGTAGCCATCACATCGAATCTTGACGATACGTGCATGGAGCATTAAATATAGACGAAAAAAAAACTAATTGCACAGTTTGGTTGGAAATTGCGAGACGAACGTTTTGAGCCTAATTAGTCCATGATTAAACACTAATTGTTAAATAAAAACGAAAGTGCTATATTAGCCAAATTCTCAAAATTCACGAACTAAACACAGCCGTAGGCATGATACTTCTGTTATTATTGGATAATCATGGATGGATTTGGACCTTAAAGCAGTCAGATTGAATTGGATTGGATGTTAGTCATTTTGAATTGGATTTCAATTAGATGTTAGATTTTTTCCCTCTAAATTTCAATCGAACTTCTTCATTTAAATTTGGATTGTAATCATTACCACCTCTGTGTTTGCAACCTCCTGTGGTTGGTTGCCAGGTGACAGGGTGAGCCGTGAGTCAGCTTGCAGACGGGGCGGGCTCTTACCGCAAGCCGCACGCTCGCCCCGCAAACTTCGGCTCCATAGCTGTTGTGGCCTGGCCACAATTCCTTTGTGGCCCAATGTCCTTTAACCCGTAAAACCCGTTGGACAAAACACAGAGCCCGCAAGAAGCCGCAACGTTGCGTCGCCGTCAACAATCGCACTTCCCGAACCCTACCGCAATCGCCGTCATCGGGCGTCGCCCTCCTCGACCCTCTCCGCGCTGCAAGTTGAGCCGTGAGCAGTTCACATGCGCTGCTGCGGGCCTGCAGTGATGTGCTTGGCATGATGGAAAGCTGAAGACCGCAGAGTCAATATTGATTATTCATGACAAAACGATCACAGGACTGCATGCTGGTACCGTCGTCCGCCGTGAGTGAGTGGGGAACACGTCGGTGCCAGCTGCGCGTTTTGTTTTGGCACGAACGATTTGTTTCTTTGTGATAAAGCTGCACGAGAAGACTTGACTTATAAGACGATGACGATCAACGATGAACCAACGAACGTGTCGGCGCTTTCATCATGTACGGAGTGTCGGAGTACCCTTTCGTACACCAGCCAACATGTTCGCTTTCTTATAAGTATTATTCTACAGCTAATTAATAATATTTTTTTCTCACGACAAATCGGCCAACAGTACTTTCAGCGATGGCTTATCACCAAACGAATGAGACAATACCGGTAAATATGCTCATATCGGACGCATTTGATTCTGTACGATCTTGAACGCATACCTTTATCAATCAACTAATTCTTTGTAGAACATGTTACGAAAATCCTTCAATTTGTGAGATTCTGTGAGTATTTTTTCAAATACAATTCTACATGTATGACTAACGCACGTTTTTTAAAAATAAACAATTTAGAAATACTTTTGCGTGTAGTTTTATCTGACTAAATTTTATTATAAGACAATTTAGGGAATATCCAAATGACACATGTATATCTATAGATTAACCTAATTAAAGTTTTCTCCTTAAATTACAGTTTCATTTTTAATAAACTCTACCAAATCTGAGCATAAGGACCATATAGAATGCCTTATATCGCACTACAAAATTTAATAAAGATCATAATGCGCTGTATTTAAAGATGGAGGGAGCATCATATTTCCTAATAAACCAACAATATGACTAAAAACGAGCTACTCCAATCCTCCATCCTTAAATATATTGGTATCGAAGTATTCAAATCTTGTCCTAAATTATAAGTATCAATTTTCACCATACACACACTTCCATGATAGAAATCTATGCATCCGTGATGCTAGTGTAATGTCCTCTAACTTAGTCCTGGTCATTAATATGTATCACCATGCTCAAAGTATGTGTAACACCCTAAATTTTTTCATAATTTTAAAATAGGAGGAAATAATTTAATTATGCATTTTTGTGAGCATTTATTAGAAAAAATAATAACTTTGTAAAAAAAATAAAATCAAATATAGGTCTACATACATGTCTATGCACTCATGCTGCTGCATATTATTTTTGAATTGTGTGGTTTAAAATCAAACTTCAAATTGATTTGAATTTATATTTCAAAATTGGTTTGGAAAATTAGAAAAGAAAAAGGAAAAGGATTTTATCTCCCCTCCCTTGTTTTCGGTCTAATGGCCCAGTCGTCGGCCCGCTCTTCCTCTCCGCAGGCCCCGCGCCTCTCTCTCGCTCTTGGGGCGCCTTGCTCCCCTTGTT